ACGTGGGCATCCCAATAATGATTAGGTTGGCCAGTGTCTAATGTAGTGGGCCGAGATCACTGTGGATGAAATTCCTCAAAGCAGGTCAGGCCCAATTAATCTCATGCATTACAAAGCAGAAAAGTCTACATTCCTCAACTACAGAACCCACATTCACCGGTCAACTTGTGCTAATGTAACATCCACATAAGTACCAAGATGGATGCCATTCTCTCTCTTCTTCCCTCTTGGGCCCACAAGCTTGGCAGAGCTCCACCAGGATTCGTCGTTGTTGCCGCCGGAGAGCAGCGCCCTGATCGAGCTCCGTGTGATGCTTGAGGAGGAGGGATAGATCTCATCTCATGGGCAACACATGTGGTTACGTTGATATTAGCAAAACGGTTTCATGCCACCAACCGTGACCACGGAGATGGCGACAAGCTCCAGTGCACGATGAGGGACGACGACGGGTGAAGTGGTAATCGAGATAACAGAGAAGAGAGAAAAAAAACAGCAGGAGAGGCTCCTCCTGCGATTTTTAGTTATCTTTTTAGTGACTGAGAAACCGTCATAATGGCACGTTAGACAAAATCACCATCATAATGATTAAGAGAGACAAAATGTACCGGCATCGATAGTTGGAGATACTGGTTTTACGGTTGAGGGATAAGAATTAGGCTTGTGCAGTAGGTGAGGGACGCGAAATAGACTTATCTACAGCACATACTAATGAAAGTTGCATGCTTATCTATTAGAAATTTAGCAGATCATGTCAAAATAAAAGGAAGAGGATGCTGAATTATGACTCTAAAATTGTTTGGGCCACTGACTTGGATCGCACAAGAATAACAACGAGAGTTGACAAGGCCAGAATAATCCAACGCTTGCCTCACTCCATAGGCCATATGGGCCAGTGCCTACTGGGTGCCATACTGTTGTTGATTATTTGGCTTGTGTTATAAAGTTTAGGATTAGTTTGGAAAGCAGAAATTTCACAAGATATTTACAAGAAAACAATTCATTTCCTCCCAAATTCTTGTGAATGCCTCCATTCCAAATTAAAGAGGCCTTAGGCTGTGTTCGGCATCACTTGTTCCCAACCCCTCTCCCTCGTTTTCCGCGTGCACGCTTTTCAAACTCCTAAACGGTGTGTTTTTTGTAAAAAAAAATTCTATACAAAAGTTGCTTAAAAAAATCAAATTAATCCATGTTTGAAAAAATTTAGCTAATACTAATTAATTAATCACGCGCTAATAGACCGCTCCGTTTTACGTGCGGAGGGAATCCCATCCAGGACATGCGAAAGTAGCCTTAGTCTTTTGTTGGGCACAGTGTACTGTCACATGTTGCATCTAGCCCATAGGGTTTATGATTAAAACTGGTAAGCTGACTGTGTCTTGTATCCAGATTTGAAAGAACTACCGATCTCTTTTTCTTTTTTTAAAGAAAAAACATACTATTATAATAGTGGACTGAGATTGTGGAATATAATATGGGGATATGGCTGTCGTTGCTTTCATTCTCTATAATTCTTTTTTTTAAAGAAAAAGCATACTATTATAATAGTTGAAATACGATGTAGATGTACACATCATGCATATGTAAGACTCCCGTACGATGGACCTTTGGAGTAATCAATAAAAAGATGAAACTAATTTCTATAATAGTTCCGTAAAATCTTTATGGCCCAATTAATATCCATGCATATAGAGATGGAGAACGCTGATCGGTGGGGACACTCCACGCAACCACCAATTCTCTATTATTATCTTACTCTTTTTTTCTCTTTACCCTATCCATGTATGTATGCATGTAGTAATCTTTAAAAATATTTTTTCTTCTAAACTATTTATCCGATATATGATCCAATCACATCATTATATTTGTTATAATTAGATATTTACAACAAACTATCACATAATTATATTCTGGTAAAAAATATTTCAAAACGCTAAAACTCAATTTTCAAACATGATAGCAATATGTGTCAACCTGTATTTTTACTGTGTTTCACAAAATTATTTAAATGTTTCATAGGGTATTTCTTTCCATCAATGCATGTATAACATAATGTTTCATTATTGACCAGCAAAGCCACATACCTACTCTCTCTATCCTATATAAAATCCAACCCTAGCATCTCAATGCAAAATTAGTGGAGAGTGAAAATGACCAAATGCCCTTCATTATTGAAAAAAGTAGTAATGGTGATAGGTAGGTAAAAGGTATGAAAGAAATAAAAGTTCTCATTTTATATGCTAATTGTTTTTTGAAAGATCCTAAGATGTTAATCGTTGATCATGCATGCATATGGTCGATGTGAGCAGTGACCAGGTATGCATGCAGTTGATGTCTCGGCTGGCAGAAAAGGAGGAGAGAAAAGAAGTGGATAAAGTTTTGGATTTTCGTGGCACACTTTTCAAACTGCTAAAGAGAATCAATCTAGGAGGGACCCTCTTAGAATAATATATGTGGATATGAGGGTGTCCATCAATTAGAAGGGGTCACATCCCCTCCTAGTTTAATTCTTTTTGGGACGGATGGAGTACAATACTAGTTAGCTAGTGGATCTACCTAGTACGTGAATCACACTGACCGATCGAGAGTGATATAGACCGGTTAGCTGACCATGAATATAACAGAGAACGTGCTATTCATAAATTGTTTTCAGCTTTCTAGTCTTCCTTATTAATTAACCATATAGACAGATGGCAAAATATCCATCGGACGCAAATAATTTCCATGTGAACATTAGTTATATATTCTTGTCATGACATATTGATATTGACACATATGCATGCACACAGTAACACGTCAGCCACAGACTTCAGCCCACACGAAAAATATATATAAGTCGCCTATATTTGAACTTTTATATGGTACCATATAAAAGTTATTCAAAAAATTAGTGAACCGACTACTATTCAAATTATTCAAAAATATTATAGAAGGAATACTCTCAAATATTATTACTTCTACTACTGTCTACTCCTTCATCCCAGAAAAAAAAAATCAACTTCTGCAATGACTTGTCTAGATTTATCTTCGGACATTGGTTTTTTAGATGGAGCTCCATCTAATGCAATAATTTAAATATTTGAAATTAATAAATACCAATTTGTATTCATGCTGGAGTCCAAGTTAAATGTATTAGTTGATACGATAATGCTTCTAGATGTGTGTGGGTTTATGTCAATAGAATACATACCCAATGTATGTGGCCTAATTAGGAGGAAGAGAGCACAAGAGCGTGCTAGAGTATCGTTCCAAAAAAAACAAATATGGGTTGATTGGATCCATGCCATTGTAAATATGCCGATTTAGAAAAATACCACTGCAATTCATCTATTCGTAGCCGTGCCATTAAAAATTTACAAAATTAGGACTATGCCACCGCCATCATGTTTTCCATATCCATCTCCATCTTCTTAAACTTGATGTACTATATTTATCATTAAACGAACTATCATAATATGCAACTCTTTTTATTTAAAATATTTTACTTTTGTAGATATTGTTGGTCAAAGTAGCATATTGGAGACCGTGTCGAGATTCAAAAATACTTATATTTTGGGACGGAGGTAGTACCCATTTGAATAGATTCCAAACAGTTGATTAACATATATATATAGTACTAACTATTATGCTATATGTAGATTTACTATTTGATTCAAACACCAGCATTAAATGTTCTTTTTAATATTATAAGACCATACAAGGTCTTTGTGGACGGCGTGAGTATGGACGGAAGTCTTGACCGAAAAGCTCTAGATTGACGGCCAATTGGCATGTTGCATGTGCACTGTGCCTGGTAGCTTATGTCAGGGGGCATGACGTCATGGTTATGTGGTCCTCACCTGTCGATCTGTGTACCCATAACCATAATGTAGGAGCTGGTAGCACACAGTACCTGTAAGGCCAGTCACAATGGCTAGTGTCATTGCACGGCTACCCAAAATATTATACCATCTTCTCTCAAATGAAATCTTTTATGAAACAATCCCCACAGTGGAGGGGTTTCACTTTGACGTTTCCAAGACTAAGCAAAGCATTTAATTGATACAAGTTGCTGGGATCATTTGTACCCAAAATCCGGCGCGGCGCGGGAGAATGCGGAGGTCGCACGGCGGAGGCGGACGCAAGAGATCCGGTGAATGAAACGAATCGGCCTCAACGGGGGTTTCACTCTGTTACCGAGGACTTGGAAACGACGCTGACGAGTTTCACCAGGATGAAACTCTTTCCTTCTCTCTCATCCCCATTTCATGCAAATAATCATTTTTTATTCAGTCTTACCCCTATTAAATGTGCATGACACACCAGTGAAACCCCCATTGTGACTGGCCTAAGAACGACTTATTGAAATTTTGAAAGAGATGGAGAGACTTAATAGTTGACTCAAAGGCCCAAACTAGCTTGCTTATTACTCCCTGTGCTCACTGAAAGAGCGAGACTTTAGTTTTCTTGGTTACTAGCTAGCTAATTGTTTTTTGAAAGATCCTAAGATGTTAATCGTTGATCATGCATGCATATGGTCGATGTGAGCAGTGACCAGGTATGCATGCAGTTGATGTCTCGGCTGGCAGAAAAGGAGGAGAGAAAAGAAGTGGATAAAGTTTTGGATTTTCGTGGCACACTTTTCAAACTGCTAAACAATGTATTTCGTGCGAAAACTTTCTATATAAAAGTTGTTCTAAAATGGAGTATCAGATTAATCAATTTTTTAAGTTTTTAATAATTAAAACTCAATTAATCACACATTATTACCACCTCATTTTGTATGAAACGTACTTAATTTTTATCTTCAACTTCAGGAGATTCAAACACCACCATATATTATGGAGAAGTTAGCTAATTAGCGCATGAACTAATATAATACATGCAGCTGCCTGCAGACACCAGCCACGTGAGGAACGACAACCGAACGACAGCTACAGGACCACTCGATCGATCAGGCCGCTGGCCGGGATCGATATGGCTGCTGCAACTATATATACGTACTACAAGCACCAAACCTAGCTAACACGTATACTAGCTAGCTAGAAATTCAAACCAAAATAAGTACTATTATCAGAAATATTCCAGCCAAATTTAAAGCTAGCAAATCAAGCAGCTACAGCTAGAGAAATCGATTGATATCGATCTCCATTATTATCCAACGACGACACGACGACGCAGCGGCGGCGATCGATCGATGGAGGAGGCCTACTGCATGATGATGGTGGGGAGGGAGAGGGAGCTCGTGGCTGAGCTGCGTCACCTCCTCTTCCCTTCTCCGTCTCCGACCACCCCCGCGAGCCACTCTACTACTGCGCTCACCGGCGACGACGAGTGCTTGCCGCCAGGGCTGACAACGACGACGACGGTGTCCGGTGGTGGAGGACGGCGGCGGGGGAGGAAGAGAGTCCGCCGCGACAATGATAATCTCAAGCTGCTTCAGGCAGATGATGATCAGGAGGTCCTAGCAGCAGCTGTTCATGGCGATGCAAATGCCAAGCCTCTTCCTAATTTCACCAAAACAAGGTGCTAATTAATATATCCATGCATCAAGCTTAATTAATTTCTAGGTGTCCATCAATAACAAGAACACTGCACACCGCACCTGCTTTCTTTTTTGTTATATTTCTGAAAGCAAATATAATCAATATAATGCACGAACGGTTCGGTTCATCATGGATTTAGAAATTTTGATTACATCTAGCTAGTTATGTATATGCAGCAGGAGGAAGCTGCAGACGACAACATCAACGATGGTAACGACGGTGCCAGATTTCGATGGGTATCAATGGAGGAAGTATGGTCAGAAGCAAATTGAAGGTGCCATGTACCCCAGGTACCATATCATTCCATATTTACATATGTATGTATTGTCACTACTGCTACATCAGTGTCATAAATCGCCACTGTTTAGCACTGTTGCTACAGTACTGCTACGTCAGAACACTGTAGCACAAGACAGATTACTGTGCGCCTCTACTTAGAACGAGCTAAGTCAGAGCAGCCGGTTCCGACTTGCAAGCATGCTCTGAGATGGAATCATTAATGTTATAAAATCAAGAAACTGCAGCCTTGAAACTCTCCCTATGCAAGAAATTAATGAGACCATCTATCTCAAAATAGGCTTGTTTAGTTCCCCCATAAACTTTTCCTAAAAACATCATATCAAATCTTTGGACACATATATTGAGTATTAAATATAGATAAAAAGAAAAACTAATTGCATTGTTTGCATGTAAAACGCGAGACGAATCTTTTGAGCCTAATTAGGCTATGATTAGCCATAAGTGCTACAGTAACCCACATGTGCTAATGACGGATTAATTAAGCTCAAAAGATTCGTCTCGCGGTTTCCAGGCGAGTTATAAAATTAGTTTTTTCATTCATGTCCCCGAAAACCCGTTCCGACATCTGGTCAAACGTTCGATGTGACACCTTATTTTATCAACTAAACAAGCCTCACGAGAGATCAGAAATTAAGCCTTTTTGGTTATGACGTGGCATGCGCAGACAATCGATCAGTCCTTTCACTCGGATACGCGTAACATATGCATGCAACCTTTGTGAATTGGTCGTACAGTACGTACGTGTAGGGCCCACAAGCCCATTACTAGGTGAATGATTAATTGCACGCATCGTCGCGCGATACACATTGTTGGGGTATGTTACAACAGATCCTACATATGTGTGATTGATTCCACTAGAATTAATTATCCACATATAAAAGCTGAAAAACTGAAGTGAAAAATGCAAGATCATATAGTAATTAGCTACTAGGTTGCAAGTTTGTAATGATATATGGATGTGTGACTAATTAATTACTGTAATTAACATAGATCGATGGACGCATGCAGGAGCTACTACCGGTGCACCAACAGCACAAACCAGGGCTGCCTCGCCAAAAAGACGGTGCAGCGCAATGGCGGCGGCGGAGCAGCAGGGTACACGGTGGCCTACATCTCAGAGCATACTTGCAAGTCCATCGAACCATCGCTGCCTCCGGTCATCCTCGACACCACCGTCCGTGCTACCAACAACCACCACCCGCCTGCAGCCTCTTCTTCTTGTGCTGCTCAATCACCGGCGGCGGCGGCGACATCGTCGTCGTCGGATATGATGATGACGAGTACTAGCAGTACTAGTAGCGAGACTGGTAATTGGAGCGGTCAGCACGGCGCCTACGCGTGCCGTCGACAGATGATCGCCGCCGATGAAGAGTACTGCTGCTGGGACACTCCGGCGACGACGACCACCTCTGGTTCTGATGGTGGTAACAGTAGTACTTGTGCCGATCAGGTGATAGACTTGATGAGCGGGCCCATCAGGTCGCCGCTGCACATCGCGGCGGACGGGAATTGGGTGGACGATTTGCTTCTTGTTGGTGATGGGCTTATCGACATATCCAGCGCTAACATCACCCATTTGTTCAGTTTCTAGATACACTCATACACATCTCTGCTATATGTATCAGATGTTACTTATGAATTTTGCATGATGGTGCTGAGATTATAGGCATATAATAATTTAATCTATTCCATAAATAAATCATGACATTACAGATGAAAACTAGCATGAACGTATCATTAGATCTACACATGTAAACTACACAGTATAACATGAATAGATCAAACATGCGCAACATATTGAACACATACCGAGGTGGCGGAAAGACCGGCTGCTCGGTCGAAACTTTTCGTAGGCGTCTACGAAGGCACGCAGCACGTGAGCGAAGAGGAAGACGAGCCGTCGCGGACGAACAGGGAGCAGTCGCGCAAAGTGCTTCCCAAAAACCTTATTGCCGCCTTCTCCCGGTGCAGGACGTCGAAGGCAGAGGTTCCGGAGACCTGCTCTCCCGATCGCAGGTGCACGCTGGCGGAGTAACCTACGAGCGACGGCGCAGCACAGAGTAGGAGGCAAACCCGGCTAGTGAGCGCGCGCGTGTGTTCCCCCTCTTCTCTCCACCACACATGCTTCAAGTGGCTAGGAGGGCATCCTCCCTTTTAAGAAGGCCCCCCTTTTCTAGAATAAGCAAGGTGGTACTAAACTCCACATGCATGCCATCCCATGAGGTGGGCTTTTGTGATTTTCCAAAAAATTAATCTTCGAGTGGGCAAGGCACATTCATTAATTCCAACAGATGGACCAACTCTTTTTTTTTCTTTTGAAAATAATTAGAAATCCGACCCCTACATTTAACTTGGATGTACACAGCCTGAACAAATCGTGTCTAGAACTAAGCTTACACCTTACACAATTTTCACACCAAAACACCCTATCATAAAAAGAGCTCTAAGACTCAAACAGCTAACAAGAATTGAAGGTAAACATCGAAGAGCATTCAACATGTAAAACTAAACCTGCAACATCTTCCTCAAGTTCCATCCAAATTCTTGAGAAGAATTCCATCATTCTAGCCTCCAAAAGCTTGCCAGCCATGCTTCACCCAATTACTATCCTTTTTTTTTAAGCAATAGTCACCACTGACGAGTTTAGTGTGTCCCTCTAAAAATTACCCGTAAAAAAGAGTTAGCTCTTAAAGCATTCAAAACTTAATTATTCCTACGAAATTGAACCGACGAACATAAAACTACCACCCATAAAAGATTGCCATCTTAATTTAGGATGTAAACCACTTAACCAACTACTACCAAATTAAGCCTAGGCACTACCAGTGATTTGGTCACAATCCAAACTCTCAGTGGTACTGTTCTGATAACCAAAATATTGGTATGGCCCAGTTTTGGTAGCAAACCAAAACGGCCCGAAAAGTAGCGCTGATTGAAGGCACGCTATTCTTTTGGTCAGATTATTAAAATCCACAATTATGTTTTTGTAACTATAGGTTGCTACCTTCTATGTGTATTAGCAAGCTATAGGCAAGACAGACATCTTCACATCTTTTGTAAGGGACCTTTTCTTGAACTTGAAACTAGAAAACACATGATCACCACTAGCTCGACCAAAAAAAATGAGCTAGTTTGTTACACATGGAAAGTGCCTCATGTGGAAGAATGAAATAAAGAGCTGTAGAATTCAGTAATTTAAATAGGACAATAATAATGCATAGATTCAAGAATACATGTCTACGTTCAACCTTTTGAGCAAGGGAGACTGGAACTGTGCCCCACCACTTGCTATTAGCTTGTCAGCCTTCGTTTATTTTATGTCAACCAAGTATCATATTCAGCATGGCATGACCATGCCCAACAGTTAAGCAGGCTGCCAGGCAGTTGTATGCCAGTCATGTCTTCATTGTTTGCATCACTATTGAGCATGTCATCACATAAAAACATTCGAAAAGGTGACATCGGGTGTTGTTGCCATGCTTTACTTCACATTCTTTTCTGATTTCCATGTATATAATTGATATATGCGTCCTTGCAGACCAAAGAGGATGACATGTTGCGGTACAAGTTGGAACGTGTCCCTTTCTTAGAAGAGAAAGTGAGAAAAGTTAGGGAAAATGGGAAGATCATATGCTTGGACATCAACCAGCTGATGTTATCTCAAGAGAATAGATTTGCTTTCACAATAGAGGTGGCTGAGGAAGCTAACTCTTATCTTGAAAAGAACAGGCATGAGTATGGACTGAAAAAACCTATACTACATGTGCTCAGTGACCGCATGAATGAAGCTGGGTTTTCTCGGCCGGAAGGCTACCTTTATCCTTATCCTATTAAGCCTGGTCCTTATTTTATTAAAGAAGAAGGGCACTGAATAAACCTCATGCTCTACAGTAAGTATATTTCACAGCCTACTTGCCAAATGACCTTTTTTAAGTCCTGCTTTTCCCTCCAATTTATCTGTTATCCTCGTTTGCTATGACGATTGTTCTTGCTAACAACAAGCATGCCCTAGAGTTGGGGGACTTGTTTTTGGTGGGTCATTTGTGTGCGTAGGAGGGGGTTTGCAGATCTGCTTCATCAAAATATAGAAGAGGACAGTATGAACTCACAAGCAAATATCAATATTTATCACGCAAAAAATGGCTTCATAGACGATCCACTCCCTCAGAACTATGCATTAATATTACACCTAAGGCCCTATAAAATAAGCTGGTCTTAAGTCCATGCAACAAAGACTAACAATAAGATAAGAGTATATCTATATGGCTTTCTGATCCATATGGATGTATAACGATTAAAGCACACATGAATTTGCACTCTAACAAGTAATTGTGTTTTGAAGCCAGTCCATTAGCCCAACTAAAACTCTATATCAAGATACACGGGAGTAAACTAATTGTGAAGGATTAAATGCGGCCGGGCTGAAGTACAGATCGATCGAAACAAAAGCGCGCAGCTGCCAGTCAAACAAAAGCATATGCATGCCTGCCAATATAGCGGTCACTGTCACACACGAGCAGCACGATTTTGCCCATGACATCACCACCCGTGACGTCACCTTGCTGTCGATTGCAGGTTGCAGCTTCCTTGTCACAGCAGAATTAATTTTGTCTCGTCCCCTCTGTCTGGAAATCTTGGGATGTGAACTATCCTGTAACGATAGATGAATCTAACAGTAATACCATAGTATTATAGATAATAATATTTTGGGACAAATATAGTAGCTTTAGGCCCTGTTTGGGGGAGCTTGTCGTCCCAGCTGCCTTCTGTTAGAAGCTGTCCCAAACAGTCCATAGCTTCTGAGAATCTGTAGTTACAGATTCTGAAAAATAAACTAAGAAGCCAGAAGCTGAAGAAACTGGGTTTCAGAGCTTTTCCAGATTCTCAGAAGCTGGCTACCAAACAGCTGCTTCTTATAATCTAAAGCTACCCTAAACAGTCCCTTAATCTTACACGGACTATATTTGATCTTAGAGGCGGAGTTAGGACCCGGCGACCCTAGGCAGCTGCCCGGGCTCCGGCGCCGCATGCATCATTAGATTAGTTCTAAATCACGGTGATTAGCCACAGCATGCAGCAGCCAGCATGAAGCAATATAAGTGTGTTTTAATAATCTGTTAATAGATGTTACATACACAATCATCTAGAGTAACCTGAAGCACCATAATTGTTTACTAGATCGTTTTATCCATTACTTGCGTATAAGCTATTAGACGTTTGCAACCTGAAGGCAAAGTAAATTTTCTAGCACCCATTATATATTTTTTTTCTTTTCAAGATAATAAATTACTAAGTACCATAGTCTGCAAAAACACCACCATTGTTTTCCTCTAAATTAGAATACGATAAAAAAAATGTTATATGGTGCATAGTGTATGGAGTTATTTGGGATTTGTTATATATCCGTTGGCGTTGTTAATTAGACTTGTCCAGGCTCACAAATATTTCTAGATCCGCCACCGTTTGACCTTTCTACCATTTCACTTGTTCATGTACTCCACAGTCGCTAGCTAGCCGTACGTGTCAATTTCATTAGTCATATGTATACCTGGGCAAATGGGTCGTGCCAAGCCGGGCCGGCCCAAGCACGACCGCACTGTAGAAGGTCCAGGCCCGGCACAGCACGCCGGCCTATGGGCCGTGCCGGCACGGCCCGTTTACCCGTGCCGTGTCTGGGCCGACGCCATAGCCCGTGGGCCAGCACGGCACGGCACGTTTACTGTAGAGGGCTGGCACGGCACGGCACGGCCCGCGAGCACGGCACGGCACGGGAGCAGCCTAGGGTAGGCACACCGCGCACGTGGCGCCAAGCGGCCGAGCCGCCGAGGGTAGCCGCGGGGCCAGGCGGCGGGAAGCGCGCGTCGCTGCGTTCGCGCGTGGCGCGTGGCAAGCGGCGTCGCGACGTGTCGCTGAGGCTGGGAGGCTGGGTCGCTCTCGCTCTGACTGCCTCCGTCACTCCGTGCCTCGTTGGGAGCAGCCGAGACGGCGACAGGCGACTCAGCGAGACCCCGTACGGCGGCCGAACAGCTAGTCAAACGACGAATGCGAGAGTGCCACGTGTCCCCAACGGCTAGTGAGCTAATCCAACGACCGCTGTTTTTGAGAAGTAGCCGTTGGAGAGCAAAAAAATGGAAAAAAAATTCGAAAAAAATATGAAATTTATTTCTATAAATAGGACACCCACCGGAGCATTCTGAATCATCCATACCTCCCATTTTGTGCTATGTTGTGCTCTTTCGTATGATAGATCAATTTTTTGATTTAGACAAAATTTGACAAAATTTTGTCTAAAATCAAAAATAGTTTGTGACTAAAAATAGTGCATACAAGAGGTGTAAAGCCAAGCAAAGGTGGTAAGAAAGAAGTACGTCATATATTCAGTTTTATGTATTATTTTATTTTATGTTATGCGAATAAATATTCTGAAATTTGTTTATGTTGTTTTAAATTTTCAGAATGGACGAATCGAACATTCCATCGTTCACGTTAGGTGATTTCGACCCTAACTACGTGTCGAGGTCATTCCCAACTGGTGAGTATGATGCCACCGGATCGGCTCCAACACCACCAGTTATGGAGCCACCGGCGGGTTCAGAAGCATCCGGCACTATGAGTGGGAGTGCATCGACGAACACCGGCTCAAAGAGATCAAGAACTTCCGGTGTTTGGCAACATTTCGATGAGGTGGCCATGACAGGCCCTGATGGAAGGCAGGTAACATTCGCGAGATGTAGAATATGCAAAAATAAGTTATCTGCAAAATCATCTGGTGGAACAGGACATTTGAAGCGGCATGCCGAGGCTTGTGCAAAGAAGCAAGGAATCCAACTACGACAGCAACAACTACTACTAAATCCTGATGGTACGGTACGTACGTGGGAGTATGATCCTATGGTAGCTCGAGAAAATCTTGCCCGTTTAATTGCTAGACAAGATTTACCCTTGAACTTTGGTGAGAGTCCTGCATTTGAAAATTACATAAAAAATTCTCATAATCCTAGGTTTCAAGCTGTTAGTAGACAAACCACAACCCGTGATTTGAAAAATGTCTATGACAAAGGTTATGAATCACTGAAGGAATTATTTAGTACATGCACCTTTTCTGTCAGTGTCACCTCAGACATATGGAGTAGTAGGGCTAAAGAGGATTACCTTAGTGTAGTTGTACATTTCATTGATGATGATTGGCAAATGCAAAAAAGAGTTCTTGGCTTAAGGTTAATTGATGTTTCACATACTGGTGAAAATATAGCAGAGAGAATTCGAGAGGTTATTGATGAGTTTAACCTTGCAGATAAAATTTTTGCTGTAACAATGGATAATGCATCTGCAAATTCTAGGGCCATGGAAATTCTACAACCATTATTTTGTATTTATGCTCAATCATTTCTTCTGCATTAGCGTTGTGCATGCCATATCATTAATCTAATTGTTAAATGTGGGTTTAAGAGAGTTAATGTACACATCGACGCTGTTCGTCAAGCAATCACGTGGTTAACTGCTTCAAACCCACGGATTGCACAGTGGAAAAGGTATTGTTGTGCATCGGGTGAGCCCCCACGTAAGTTTTTAACTGATGCAGACCATGGGTGGAATGCCACTTATTTTATGTTAAAGTTTGTATTACCTTACAAGGATTTACTTACTGTTTTCCTTCAAACAAGTAATGGCCCAAAAAACAGTGATGGCCAGCCAATACTGACTGATCATACCTGGCACATTGTTGAAAGGTTCAATCAATTTCTTGAAACGTTTCATGACTGTACTCTTCTGTTATCTCAAGTATATTATCCAACAGCTAATTTAATTTTGCATAATATTCTTGAAATTGCCACTTTGTTGAAAGAGTATGAAAATGATGACCTTTTAATGCCCGTTGTCTTTAATATGAAACAAAAATATCTTAAATATTGGAAAGACATCCCCATGTTGTATTCTTTTGCATTTATTCTTGATCCTAGGGGAAAATTACGGGGATTCCTCGATATTCTTTCACTTATTGGAGATATTATTAATGTTGATTATTCTACCTATTATGCTGATGTCAAAACTAAATTCTATGAGGTATTTCGAAAGTATGAATTAAAGTTTCAGGGAGATCGCTTGCAAAGACCCCCACCTGTCCCTGCAGCAGGTAAGAAAAAATTACAGTGGAGCAGAATTTGGGGTGGTTCATCTTCTAGCCATGGTGGTGGTACCAGTTCATCAGCAGCAAGTGGGGACGCTAGATCGCATGGTCCTGCCGAAGAGTTGTCCAACTATTTGGATAGCGATGCCATCAGGCATGAAACGTCAGACTTCAACGTACTCGGGTGGTGGAATGATCATAAGATGTCATATCCTGTGCTATCAAAACTAGCACGGGATGTGTTGACGGTGCCCGTATCTTCGGTATCCTCCGAATCAGCCTTCAGTCTATGCGGAAGAATTATCGAGGATAGGAGAACAAGTCTGAGCAGCGATCATGTGGAAATACTATTAAGCGTCAAAGACTGGGAACTTGCTGCAGAACATGCCCAATACACTGCTGACAACCAAGAATTGGCCGCACAGTTCGAAAACCTTTATTTAGATGATGAACAATTAGGGTAGCTAGTTTATATTTTTTAAGTATTGACCTGTTAGCTGTACTCTTTTCTTTGTCATGGTTTTCTCAAATATGAGTTTTTACATGACAAAGTTTTTAACGAGGCAGCATGTATCATGTAAACATCAATAAAGGTCATTACTCTTTTTTCCCCATATTTTTCTAATATTTTTCTAAGTCTAATTATTTTTCTATTTTTCTCCAACTATCCATTAATTTTCTCTTAGCTTAGTTAACTTTCGGACCTTTCTCTTTGATTTGAATTGTTCCACTGACAGAGTGATAGGCGATAGACACACGGACAGAGGCAAGTCACTGAGTCAGCATTCAGCAAGTCCAGCGCCACGTGTCGCCCTTCGGCCGGCCGGTCCCGCGGCCCCGGCCGCTTGCTCCCGCGTGCCGCATCTAAATTTTCATCCGCGCTGCGCCTTGTCGGCATTGTCGCCTTGCCAGCTTGCCTGCAGTCGATCGTGCCAACGGGCCGACCATGACCCATGGGCCATTGACGTGCCCGTGCCGGCATGGCACGGCACGACGTTCCCTCGGGCCGTGCTTGGGCCGGGGAGTAGGCACGTGGGCCGGCACGGCACGGCCTGTTACAGGAGTCGTGCCTAACGGGCCGTGCCCTAGCGGGCCGTGCCGCCGGCGTGCCCGTGCCGTGCTGGGCCGGGCCGCCCGTTTGGCCAGGTATAGTCGTATGCCCCCGGCCCACTGATCAATTAATTTGTGTGTGGACCCGTCGGATTCTCAATCGTATGTTCCCTCCCTGAGCGGTCCAACAATTGAACTGCACGATCTACACATGTACATGCACAACTCACATATATTGTACTCCTATCATCTATCTACTCACTGCGTCTGTGCCTCTATGGGTTTTCTTCAAACATCGACAACATTCACATCATATATATCTAATTCAAATCAATTAGAACTTATTTTTCATGAACACGTAAAAGCTTTATATGTCAATATATTAGAAAAAGAGTAGCATACATCGATAACAAAGCTAGAGCTAGGCGGTTAAGGCTGGGGGTAGGAGGGTACAACGTGACACTAAAAAGCTGGCTAAAACTCCTATGAGATAGGTGAGAAACAAAACTAAGCTAAGCTATGTGTATAATAGCCTGTTAGCCTCCCAACAGGAATCACCGTTGCCTCAACCAGCACTAAATTAATTATTACTGGCTAGCTAGAATATATAGATATTCACGTCACAATTTTTTTGCAAACACACAAAAGGATTATACGTCAATATATTAGAAATACACGACGCAACCGGCTAGGCGGCCATTGCCAAAGGACAAAGACAGGAAAAATAAGACTGCTAGCTAGGTTATTAATATTCTTCTTAAATTTGGTTTGATTTAGAACAAACATATATACATCCTATTTTGTTTGTTCCAACATACTGGTATGAGCATGTAAGTGTTCAAGATTGTTGCACCTGTCGTTGTCTTTGACTTCTGGTTGAATCAACTTTTGGCATGTACTTTTTTTTTTTTTTGAACAGCACGTACCTTCTCCTTCTTTGACCCAGCAAATGTACACGTAGAACATATTCTCTCTTATTCATTATTTATATTATAAGTCGTTTTAAATTTTTTCTTAGTCGATTTTTTTATTATTAACCAAATTATATAAAAACATAAAAAATAATATCAAACAAATATACTATTAAAATATATTTACATTTAGTTTTAATGAAGCTAATTTGATAATATAAGAGTTACTACATTTCTCTAAAAACTTGGGTCAAAATTACATGAGTTTGGCTTAGAAAAAAATTAAAGCAACTTATAATATGAAACGGAGGGAGTACTTGTTAGTACATGTTTAATTTGTGTCAGATTAATGTCTTCCTTGTTTAGGGTTTGATTAGAGAGTAACATACTTGCATATATTTGACCATCAAATTCCTTCTCTTAACATACCTAGCAAATGCCAATGCTTTGATGTAACAAAAAGAATAAAATATCATAATATGTCACAACAAAATATATTTGTTTATCAAATATAGTAGTATGACTTGTTTGCTAATTTAATTACCTGTTATTCACTTATTTGAATCAAATGTTGGACTATTTCATAATATTAAAAAATCAATGGACAATTTGTAACATTTACAAAAGCAATAATGGAGTGACGGATTTACTATCACCATCACTATAGGTTTTTAGAGGGGTATAGAAATGCCTTTTCTTTCGATCAAGTACCAGATTTTTTTGATTTTTCAATATTAAAGTTTAATTAGCTCACGCAAAAAAAAAAGTCTAATTAGCAGACTTTGAGAATGCTAACTTGTGTTCTCCTCCTGTCGCAGGTGTTTTTTTATGTGCCTTTTTGTCCTTGTGAGAGTGTTTGCATGTTTGGAGGTCGGAAAACCCCTATTAGTATCTGTTTTTGTTCAACCGAAGCTGAAAAAGAAATACATTTGGGTAGCGGAAAAATAAATAGTGGTGAGATCAAATATAGAGCCGCTAAAAGTGATGTACATGTTCTGAGGCCCTAATTACTGTTTCTCAATTAAATGCTACTGGCCCATAAATAATTAGGGGGCTACCTAGGGACTGTGAATTAATTTACCATGCATACCACTATGCCAGCATATGTCTAGGTGACGAGATTGTGGTGACGTCAACTTGATTCAGTGGGCATGACAGTATGAACATATCGATGGGCAGACTGTGCAAGTTTTACCATTTAAAAGTGCAGTGTACTCGTCTTAAATTTTAATTACCACCAGCCCAATTAATCCTGAAAACTTACTCCCATCCTACATAGACAACTATGTAGTACAATGTGTGGAGTGGAGTTGAATACAACTGTAGAATTCACTAGTAGCTAGTATAGTTCTAGTAACTAGTAGTAGCTAGTATAGTTCTAGTAGAGAATTGAGTAATTAGTAGTAGTACGTAGTTTAGGTGCAAACTATATATATACCACACGGTTGGAGTATAATCTGCGTAGTGATTCATGACAAATTAGTGGTCTAAAACTGAACCGCGTAAAAAGCTCAGGTGATTAATTAGAACTTGGTGTTGAACGTACTACCTGATGATCTATCAAGCTAGCACTAAGAAACTGAGGCCCTGTTTAGATGGGACTAAAACTTTTAAGTCCCTATCACATCGGATGTTTGAAAATTAATTATAAATATTAAACGTAGACTATTAATAAAACCCATCCATAATCTTGGACTAATTTACGAGACGAATCTAATGAGCCTAATTAATCCATGATTAGCCTATGTGATGCTACAGTAAACATTCTCTAATTATAGATTAATTAGGCTTAAAAAATTTGTCTCGTGAATTAGCTTTCATTTATGTAATTAGTTTTGTAAGTAGTCTATATTTAATACTCTAAATTAGTGTCTAAAGACAGGGACTAAAGTTAAGTCCCTGGATCTAAACACCACCTGAGTCCATATATATGAGCTCCATTCAGCATGCGTGTGGTAGGAGTTTAATTTAGTTTTTATGCGTCACACTGCAAGATGCATGAAGGTTCTTCTTCTCCTATATATGTATATTAATTAATCTAGCTAGAGAGAGAGAGAGAGAGCTAGTGGTTGCAACTTGCAAATTAGTCTAAGTCCAACTTATTCTACTGATAGTCCAATAAGCATGTGCTACATGCATCATATCAATCCATGAGATCTATCGATCTTCCCCTGCAGTTGCCTGAGCCGATTATATTAGGGTACAAGTTGTCTTAGCTGAGGTAATTGTAGGGCCATATTGAACAGCACTGCATACACGCACCATCATCCTGCATATCTCGTTTAATTGTGTATATATATAGCCACATTAAAGTACACACTTGTGACAAACCTGATTAACCACACTGCCACAAAGCCAGGTGATCATCTCCCTTAATCAGCTTCCATTAATTCTTCCACAACTATCTAGCTAGCACCGATTAAGAACAGCAGCTATCTTAATCAGAGAGCTTGATATCTTAATTAGGAATCAAGGAGATGAAGAACAGCAGCAACAAGAGGCCACTAGTTGCTGATCAATGGCATCCTTCTTCTGTTTGCTGCGACCACCGGGCGGCGTTGAGGGAGATAGCCAGGGGGCAGTCTCTGGTGACGCAGCTCCGGGCCATCGTGTTGCCGGCGCTTCACTCCGACGAGCGAGGCGACCTCGCCGCTCAGATGTTGGAGGGCATCCTCGACTGCTCCAGGAAAGCCATCTCTGAGCTACAGCTTCAGCTCTCTTCTGATTCTCCGCATGATGATGATGGCCATCTTGATGACAAAAGGAGAGTCAGGAAGATTGTTTCCTCTTCTTCTGATGATGATGATCACAGCAGCAGCAAGGCAGCTGAGGATCACAACGCCAAGCCTCTTCGCCAACACAAGAGAAGGTACAAATTATATCTACTTCTGTAAATAAATTTCATTTCTCATGTTTTTCAGTCCTCTGGTTTCACAAACATTTGAATTCATCAACGATTTCTGTTCTTGGTTTTACTGATTGTATCATCTCCAATCAATTACAAACAACAGGAGGTTTGGTGATTCGGTGTCGCTTGAAACTCCAGTGCCACACTACGATGGCCACCAATGGAGGAAATACGGGCAGAAGCACATCAACAACTCCAAACACCCAAGGTATGTAATCAGACATTCATGAATTAATAGTTTCATTCAATTAATTACACCCTTGATTAATCGTGTTATCAAGATCTAATCAGTATAAACACCAACTAATATATATATCTGCATCAATCTGAATTGAGCAGGAGCTACTATAGATGCACCTACAGGCAGGAAGAGAAGTGCAAGGCTACAAAGACGGTGCAGCAGCGAGAAGACCTGCACCATGCCAACAGCTACAATGGCGATCATCCCGTCATGTACACGGTGGTCTACTACGGCCAGCACACCTGCTGCAAGGGCCCTGCGGCATCAGCTGATGATCATGTCGTCGTCGAAGCATCACAGATTAGCACCGACAGCCATTGCCAGAGTCCGGGCAGCAGCAGCAGCGAGCTGCAGGCTGCGGCACACGCCGGTGACAGCAGCCAGTGCAGCAACATCTCCGTCACCTGTTCATCATCAGTCGTCGTTGAGGATTGCAATAAGCTTCTTGACATGCTGCCAGCTGCTGATGAACTGACCACTGATGTCTTGTTGTTCGACATGACTGCATATGCACCTTTAGATTTGGATATCAACTGGGAAATGGATACAAATGCTCTGTGGGCTTGAAAAAGTTTTGTAATTAAACTGATCTATCTGTAACACGTCAACAAACGAGTTAAATTTATCTATACCCTTTTGCAAGTACTGAAAATTATTTCTTCGTAGCCGGTTTGATCAGCGTACTAGTAGATACACAACACAAATAAGCTTTGCTTTCCTTCAGAGAGCAGCATTAATCAACCGAAATAAAAGATCTAGATTAAAAAAAAACTATATATATCAGCTTAATTCAATTGAAGTGTCTTTATCTCTTGGAATAGTCACAGTGCATCGGATGCTGCCTGCTCCAGATCGATCTACTGCTTATCTTCTTCAGGCATGCATAAATTAATCGTGCTCTGTTTATAGGACGCTACAACAATACCTTATTTGGGAAATCATATGATTAGAGTACCATGCATTAGGTGCACACTTAACAGCAAGCAACAACGACCAGTGGTTAACAGCTTTAGCTGCTGCTAGCTGATCAGCACCATGTACTAATTAATTATTGTACAATGACGTATATGCGATTAAATAAGCAGGGGATCTGACCCACAGCCGCCACAGGTTTGTCGCATATGCACTTGAATACCATGAATCTATATCCACTGCTTATATACTAGTATTGTAGTTAAACATGCACTCTGTACATAAATATATGCACTTGCAGAATTGAAGTTGCAGCTACAGATTATATTAGCTACCTGGCCAGTGTCTGGACATGACACCCACATCTACTTACGTTGTACATAAATCATGGTGCCCTATATTTATTCAAGTGTGCAAATTGGATTTTGTGATGGGGAAATTTCATCTGCTAAAATAGTTAACAGAATCTCATTAGCCTACGAGGTGCTTACTATGGATGGATCAATTAGTTTACTAAATCACCTGCCATTTCACCAAACACCTGACAGGATCTAAGAGAGACAATGACTGCGTTTATTACATCCACGTTTATTACATCCATTTGCATTGTTGAATATGCCCCTTCAGCCAACAAATATAATGGAGTAGGCAGTAAGCAAAAGTGAATATCGTATTACATATATCTCGGCCATATATTTCTAGTATTCGACATACCTTTAATTATTTGGACACCCAGAAATCAAAAGTAGTGAAATTATTAAAGTTTCTCAAAACAACATTGAGACACGTCATCAACAAAATATGGACCGTCCGATTCCTATTCAGAAAGTTTCAGGCCGTTAGATCCTAGATCGGCGAAATATCTTCTTAGTCCTTCTAGAAATTTCTTTCACAACGAGGTCCTTCCACGTCCCTGCGGTAAAAAAAAGAAGAAGAAAGAACGCGACTCTTCTCGTCTTCACGCCGCCTCCGCTCCTGAGGCCCAGCCGCCGCGCGCCGCCTCTTCTCCCAAGCCGCCGCTACCTCCCCCTCTAGTCCTCTCCGTCTCCATTGCCGGCGTTACTCATCCCCTCATCACCGCGGCTCCATCCCACCCCTGCCGCCGCCGTATACCCCACCGGCACCGGCGCATCACATCCACCTCTAATCTCCCGCTACCCTGAAGAAGGGGGGAAAGGGATGACAGATGAATAGCGATGGCGAGGAGGAGGGTATCCGCAGGAGCTGCGTCCACACCTATTCACCAAATCGGTATCCAGGGCAGAACAACCAAGGTCACTCTCTTCTCTATTCCTCATTCTCTGTTTCCTTCTCTATCTTCCTTTCTTGACTGTTGATTGGATGTTAGCCTTTCAAATACTACTATATTGATTTGTATTATACGTATGCACCTTATGAATTCCAATATTAATTATCTTTATTAGGCTTTATTTCATAAGCCCAAAAATCGTATCAATTTAGGCTCCATGATTGGCTATAATTACAATTGAGAAAATCAAGTTTGGGACAACTGAGTAGAACTGCAAGTATCAGCAAATAAAAATATTTTGTAGAATGTAGATCTGTTTACTTATACTCAAAGTAAATGATTCTCTAAGGTATCGCACAACAGATGATGAAGTGTATCTAAATGTTTCATGAATCACAAACAAATACACCAAAAGAAAAATCCCAGCTTTAGCTTCAGAGGGACCAGACAAATTAGAGACTCATGTAAATCGATTATAGTTAGTATTAATTTACAGGAATGGTCCTAGGAGCAATCTGTCTCAGATGCATATACTGTACAGCTCAAGTCACCAATGCTTAATTACACTAATAATCTATTCATGGAGAGTGGATTACTATCTTCATTTATGACTGAATTAGAAAAATATTTGCTCATGGAAAGGATTTCAGCAGTTTACATAAGGGCTGCAATAATGTATACACTTCTATCTTGCTAAATTGTGTGCACTACTATTAAAAAGGATAATTATTCGGGTACCAGCTTTAGTTGGTATAGCCTTCCTGATTCCTATTATTTAATTTTTTTTCTAGAAGTTATTTATATCGCTGTTACTGAAGACATCTCGACTGAAATTATTTTTCCCTGCGCCTGCAACAGTAGAAAGTTCAGTAGCACATGTTGATTTAGGGAACTGTTTAAACAAAAAAGGTTAACTCACACAAGATGTAGTTTTGGCCAACATTGGCCCATATTAGGATGCTTCATTCTGATCCTATTTTATTTTGCATCAGCAGGCACTGCACGGCTGCAGCGTTGTAATTAAATCATCGACATCAGTGGTGGGGCCTTATGCTTGGGTACGCAGCGGAGGAGGGAGAAATAAATTATCTGTACTGACCATCGGTAAGTAATATTTACACCTATCCTTATTTTTCCAAGTGCCAGTAAAATGTCTTAGACTACTTGATCAAGCATAGAATTGAGCTATAAGAGCAATGAGTTTCAATGATATTTTGTGTGTGTGTAGAAGTGTGAATGATGTGTCGACAGGAAGAATGGGTTCTCGTATTAATGAATATATGTACTGATGACGATATATGCCTCCATTATTCTGCTGCTGAAGGTTGAGCGTGTTGTAGTCTATCATTTATAATATTCGTTCAGTTTTTTAATTTGATCGAGCCATATGAATATCATATCAACATTGCTAGACTATATCTCAAAAAAAAAAACATTGCTAGACCATCTAGCTTCAGTATGAATTTTGTGACGATCACGGATTTGTACCTTAGCACTCTTTGTTGAATCAGTTTTTCAAGAAGTCACACTGACTCACAAGAGAAATTGCATTGTCCTTGAAGAAAAATACATGGAGGTGTCTAAATTTTACACTAAAACTTTTGGTACCTGGAGGTACCAAATTTTATACTAGAAAATATGGTACCTCCTGGTACCTTATCAAGGATGGTAAAATTACCCGACTCACAAAGAGAAGCTTCACTAAGCACATTGTAAGTGTACTACTGCACATGCTTATGAGACTAGATACCAGTTAAGCCACTAGCTAGGAGGGAGATGGAAATTATCTATGTGGGACCTGCTAGAAATATCAGTGAAAACCATCTCTATGCCAGTTGAAACAATCATGGAAAAGGGTTTTAAGGCATTACTTGTACAGTTTTTGAAGTTCACGGTAAAAATAAACTTTTTCTTTGTTCAGTGCATAAAATATACCCCAAGCAGAATTCATAAGATAGAAGTCGATGTTTTTTCTACCTAAAATTAAAGCATCTTCATAGTTACAGGTGCTCTTGAGTCTTGAAAATATCTCCTCTCCTAAAGTTATAAGAAATTAACAAAAGAGCATCCAAGCTTTACCTCGTTTCAGCGCATCAGCAAAAGAATGAGATGTTTAACATACATCTTATTTCTTTTCAAAGTTGATCCATCCATCCAGACCATCCTCGCCCGGCAGTAGTTCTCTTTTCAAAATCAGCTCCATTTTGTTTTTACCTGTCAATTTGATGGGCATTATTATATGCAAAACATTATATGTAAAACATAGTGAGATCATCAATACCGCAATGATTTGTACCTAGCTCAGTATATGGGTCATCCACTGGACCATTCAATTCAAGAATGAAGAAATAATCGATCCCATCAACTAAACCTAACAATTAATATATAGGTAATATTCAGGTTCTGATAGTGATTCAATGGACCCGGCTGGACATCGATCATACCATCATATATGGAAAGAAATTTATAAAACTGTCAAATTGGATTGAGGATTTTGGGCATGTGGCTTATGCAAGGCAGCGTCACCATGTCTTTGTGATAGTACTGTATTAGTGTCTGGATTCCTTGGGCCACCTTTTTTTTGAGAGATAGGGGCTCTTCTCAATCTGGGCTACGCAGGAAACATCTAGCCCGAAACTATAGATATGCCCCTTGGACTGGTTTAGTTGCAACCTTAACCTTAACCTTAACCTTGTTCAATTTTGTTGACAGATCCTCTGCCGCTCTGAACCCCTGAACATAACTACATAATGTTTATAACTCTTTGAGAAAATTTGATTCTATCATTGATGATAGGAGATCGATTTCACACATATTTCACAACTACAACATGGTGAGCAATTTTCTTCTATAAACACCAAGACTGTAACATCGATATCGACTTTTCAGTTGAATTATCAAGCTAGAATTCAGAATTTCAGAAGCCAAAGAGGAAACAGAACATGCCGAACCTTAGGCGGACAGAACGAAGCGGCAGAACACCTTGACTGTGTATGTTTGTCGCCGACCGGCTGCTCAGAACACAACAGGAAACAAAAAATGGCACGGTACTGGAGTACATCCATCCGGGCGTGCTGTCAAACTGAACATAAGGTATTGGCGTGTTCCTTCTTGACTCGCACGGTCACGCCATGTTTTTGATGGAGTAAAACATCCCGGTCACTAAATTCAAATAAGGAAAAGATATTGTTACTATAATTTATTACAAGTTCTCCATACAAGCAGAATAGCAAAAGATAAAGCCATAGCTGGATTGAATTTCCCCTTTTATATTTTTTCCCCTTCTTAGATGGTTGGCTTGGACAGATATTACGAGAAGATCTGCCATTGCTCTATAGCTTGATTAAAGTTAATATTGGCACAATTAATCAAGGCTAAGATACACGTTACTTTGCTCCACAAGATTATTCCAACAGATTCACCAAGCTAGTAATAATCCACTCGATCCAGATTACCAGATAGGTGTTTTAATTGGAAAGAACAAACATGCTTGAGTTAAACTAAAATTGAACCTGCTGGCCAGCCGGTTGGAACAATTGATTGCGTTCCATTGGAGTCAAAGCAAGCATGTCCCTATTCAGGGACCAGTAACGAGGGACAATTTGTGGTCCCCATATATCTTCTCTCTACAACCACCAGAAAACCAGAGCAATTTTTTGCATCCACATATGATGTGGAATGAAGCAGCTGCTCGCACATTTATATTATGGTAACTAGGTCTGTCAGCCAACAATCACAGGAATCATTGCTAGCCACAAGTCACCCCATCCATATCCTCCTGATCATCAAGTACAAACAGAAACGTTTTTCACCTATCAGTTATGGTTGGATGTTGTAATTTCATACACAGATATTTTTTTTAATGATATGCTCAAGTTCTTGATAAATCGCTTTTTTTCTTGGGCTGGGTCCGCTGGGATTTATGTTTACAATTGTTTATACACCTCTTCACAGTGATAATATGCTAAATACTCCATAGAATAAAATATAATAGACATGCAATCTCAATGGGATTATAGTCACCTAATATACAATACAAATTTTCTTTGTTCCAGAAAAGGGAAATTTGTTTGTTCCTCTACTCGATTACGATGTTCCTGGAGTAATTTTCTCCAAACTTCTTTTAGGATGAAGTTCTGAGCAAAAACTTAACCTTTTAGGTACTTTCACTAATAAAAGAAAACACTGATGCAGGCTCTGACGTAAGATATATGTAACTCAGGAGAGACATCCTAGAATAGAACCCATTTTTGCAATTTTTTAGAGTTACATCTGTCTCTCAGTCATAAAATTGTACTGGTATTTGATAATGACCTCACTTCGCTAGACTTTTGTTGTGAGAACATTTGAACAATCTCAATTCCTCCCATCATGGTGCTGCTGCTTGCTACCGGTATAAATATATGCCTAAAGCTGCAGTTAGCTAACACCTTCTGCCCTGACTATCATAGCCACATCTCCATAATAGACAAACTCATAAGATGAAAATTCTCGAATCTTTTGGTCATAGTGACTGTCAAGTAGTGATCAACATGATAGAGCACCAAAAGGCTCTCATGGTGGAGCTGCGTGGCATGGTCATGCCAATACTTCCGAGCGACAATGAACAAGCCAAGCTTGCTCTTTAACTCTTGGGAGATATATTAAGTTGCTCAGATAAGGCTATCTCCATGCTAGAACTTGGTGGAGACACTAACAAGCTGACCAATCTTGTTGGAGGTAAGAGAAAAGGTGACAAGCATATCATGGACAACCACAACTTGGAGGAGGAAGCCAAAGAAAGTGTTAGCAAGAGAAGGTATATGTATATATTACATGCCACTAGAGGAATGCCCACTAGCTTATCATTCATTGCTAACGAAATTTGATTGATCCTCTTGATTATGATAGAAAGAATGCAGAACACACAGGTTCAACTGTGGCTCAAGCACCTCACAATGATGGACATCAATGGAGGAAGTATGGTCAGAAATGGATCTCTAGAGCAAAACATTCCAGGTATAAATGAGCATATGAACTCCTGTTTATTTCCATTCCTCGAAGCATATTGATTTTATCTAACAGAAAAAAATATATACATCTAATGAGCTCATTTTCTTAAGCAGGAGCTACTACAGGTGTGCCAATAGTAAAGTGCAAGGCTGTCCTGCAACAAAGACAGTGCAACAAATGGATTCCAGTGGAAATGGAACATCAAAGTTGTTCAACGTTGACTACTATGGCCAACACACATGCAGGGGAGATGGCATAGCCAATCCATATGTTGTCGACACAGCCCATCACAGTATGGAACCTATCAATCAAAACGAATGCAATAGCCCTACACTTGAACACGAAGCCCATGAAGTTCAAGATGAAAGATTTGAAAACTTGTGTATGGTACAAAATATGCCAGAGTATTTGATAGATTTTGAATTGGAGAGAGCCTTCGAGTTTATTGTGAACTCACCATTGGGTTCTGAGCATTGGACGTTCGATGATTCAATAAGATGTGAGCACAGTCCAATATGCATATGGGGATGATGACTTGATGTTAGCTATAAGCTAGCTAGGAGTTTCTTTCAGGATGTGCTGTAATGATAAGTTGTGACCTGGTAAAAATACATAGCATTTTGCTCATGACTAAGAAGTAAACCTGAAATTAAGAAGCATGTGTATAAGCTATTATTATACTATTATAAAAATTGAAGATGTTTCCGCGGTCCGTCGTCCGTGTTTGAGTCGGTTATAAAAATTGAAGATGTTTCCGCGGTTCGTCATCCGTGTTTGAGTCGGTTTTAATTTTATGTTTTGGTTTTAATCTATATCTCTTCTCTTCTCTATCTCTATCTCTACTATTATTATAAAAATTGAAGATGTTTTTGCCAGTATTTTGGTACGTCATCCATGTATGAGTCGGTTTTTAAGTTCTTTTTCTTTTGAAAATACATATCCGTATTTGAGTCGGTTTTTAAGATCGTTCACTTTTGGTAATCTAGAAGGAATCATATAAGAAATCTGTTTAAAAAAACTTGCATGCTAACTTGAGATGATCGGACTCCTAACTACAGCTCGTGATTTTCTAAAAATATATATATCCAAGCGAACCCTCACAGTGAATTTCATCCTAACTAAACCATATAACAATAATAAGATTAAAATAGATTTCACCCGTTGCAACACACAGGCATTTTTTCTAGTTAATATCTCAAATTAGAAATCCTATGTGGTAGATACATATGTTGCAATGCCAATGCAGTGCTGGATATGGAAAAGTGATTCTGAGTGAGTTTGGCAGTTATTTCTGTATCACGCAAAATACTTGAAATTCTGAATAATACATTAATGGTATTGTGGAAATGTGGATACAAAAGACATATATATGCAAACCTTCAATTTTAGGCGTAAAATCTTTTTTCATATATATTTTTCCCCTTGTATAATTTTCCAGCTCCACACTGTTTCTCCAGTGTAATACAACCAACTGATAGCTAGAGTCACAGTCCCCCAGACCCCCACCCAAAAAAAAAAGAAAGAGAAAAGCTAGAGTCACAGTCACCAATATATTTCATGGATTGCTTCTTTAAAATGAATTGAAAAGGCAGTTGCAAGAACTTGTGTGTGCATTCATCTAAATTTCACATGCACGAGATGGCAATACTGGATGCAAACGCAACCACTAGCGTGTAAAGCATGTTGGTATCAAGTCCAATTTCCTTTCATCGGTCAATAGTAGCTAGCTAGAGTGCAAGTAGACAGGTGTTTGTTGACAATGGATGGAAGATATCCTGTATACACAGAGATACAGGACAAAAGGATCAGAGAGCTTCAGTGTTTTATCTTTGTCTGCTTAAACGGTTGCTCAATTAATCAGCACACACATATGTTGGAAATAAACTAGTAGAAAGATACTCCAGATTGTTGGGACACCCTTGCATTCATTTTCATCGCTTCCAACAATAATCACTAGAGCTTGGAGTTGAACTGTTCACTATTCAGCACAGCGATTTTTAATCAGGCAGGGGAATACTTGTGCAAAATTTGCGACGTTCTGTTAAAATCGATTTCTATTTCTCCATTGTCCCTATCGAGATGGTTTTTCTTCTTTACATTAAAAAAAAGTGATGATTTTCTTTTAGCAGGTACAATTCTAGATGATATATTGTTATCAGGTGAGGGCCCGTGCATAGTCTAGTTATTGTACTACAAAGAATAGTGGGTACTACTAAAATTATTCAGAAATCAGACAAAGCTATCGTAATTACGTAGCTCCTTCCATTACTGTTCGTTCTCTCCATCCACCTGTGTATCCGCCGGAAAAGATGAGCACCGCCGGCAAGGCCGAATCTGCTCCACCCTACCTATACGGTTCATGAATCCGATGCACACAAACTGTTGTTATATGCCACAGTAGGCAGAGATGGGATGCGGGCATTCACCCCCAAAATCGTAGTTGTCGCCTGAGCTGGGTGAGAAGGCCAATTGTGGGCGGTGGGTAGAAGGGTTTGGTGCGGAGAGAGTAGAGGCGGGGTGGGTTCCTCGGTGGCAGGGAAGACGGGGAGGAGCGCGCGGCGGAAGGCGAGCGGTAGGGTTGGTCTTGGCGGCGGAGAAGGCGCGAGCCCAATGCCGCGGCACCGACGGGGAAGGAAGGACTGCAGCCGAAGAAGATAGACAAATACAGGGACTGATATTGGGTTTGGTTTGGTTTGTGGGCTAAATAGGCCTTACCAAAGTTTGTCAATACCAAATTTTGTCAAGTTTTTGTATGACTAATTTTGTTAAGGCAAAGTTGTGTTTGGATTGAAGCTAAAATAGCCTAAGTTCACTATTGAAATGGCCTATTTTTTTTGGCAAAATTTGCTATAGGACACTCAAAAAATGTGTAATTAGCGTAAAAACGTGAATTGTCTGTAGGACACCGCAAAAAAGTGGTAATTATCTACTAGACACCGGTGACATTATTTTATTATTTTCTATGGAAACGGGAAGAAAAAGAACGGTAAAAGTACCGAAATGCCCCCGCGTCGTTTTGCTCCAGTTTCTTGTCCTTGACGTTGAGCTGCTGCGCAGCGCGGGTGTCCGCGGCGGCGGTGGCGAGGGAGCAGGCGGAGAGTGCGGCACAGCACAATGAGAAGGTGGAGCTGGAGTGACGCTGCGTGACGGCGCGACGTAGAAGGACAGTGCGCGCGAGAAAAGAGCACCGCGGCCAGGCGGCACGATGCGGGTGCGCGGAGGCCATGCCTGGGTGAGGAGGGGGTTGCCGGCGCTGGATTCGGGTGCAGGCACGGCCGACTGCGGGCTCGAGCGCGGCGTGGTGCGGAAGCGGCGCAATTCCGGTGTGGCTGGCGATGACGGCCGTGCTGCGGCGCAGGCACGGTGGTCGGCGTCATGCGGGGCTGCTCGGCTAGGTAGTGCACTGGCCGTGCGAGATGGCGCCGCGCCGGGTGTGCAGCAGCTTGCGGCAACTCGTGGCAGCGATGGGGCGCGTGGGTGCAGGCAGCGGCTAGCGGCCAGCAGCTCGCGGTGCAGTGCCGTGCAAGGCACAGCCGATGGGCAGCAGTTCTTCGTCGTCATGTGGCCCGCCCAAAGTTGTGTCTGCTCCGTTCATGCAACGGAGACGAACCGCGTGACGACGAGGCGTGTGTCGGTGCGGCGGAGAAGGACGGCGTCGGCGGCGCTGCAGCACGGTGTGTCTCGTCGGGAGGAAGAGAACAAGAAAATAGAAGAGAGGCTGACATCCTTGACCCACATAATCGTTGACCTGGCTGGTCTTTTACGATTGTTTCTCTCTCCCTGTTGTTTGGAAATAATAAAATAATGTCTTCGGTGTCTAGTAGCTAATTATCACTTTTTTGCGGTGTCCTACAGCCAATTTACATTTTTACAGTGTCCCACGGCTAATTACACATCTTTTGAGTGTCCTGAAGCAAATTTTGCCTTTTTTTTAAGCATGCCAAAATTTGGCTTTAAACCGAATAGACACTAAACACTATTAAAATTGTCAAATATTAGTAAGTCTAATTTAGACCTCAAACCAAACCAGCCCGTAAATACTGAAGTACAAAATAGGTCCAATTTACAAAATTCCTTATCAGTTATCATCATCAGGAATTCAGGAATCAAGGATCCTAATTGCAAAACTTCCATGTGGCTGAGTGGGCTATATCCTGGGCTTTAATTGGGCCTCTATGCGATGGGCCTAGGCCTTAGGCGCCTACCTATGGATCGCAAGAGCCCCAAATGAAAGGAAACCACGTTTTCCTACTTAAACCATGTACATTTAAGCCCATTTAGAAATTAGAACAGAAAGGAATAAGTTCACCGGAGGTCCCTCAACTTAACAGCGAGATTTTTTGAGATCCCTTAACCACAAAACCAGAAATCTTCACCCCTAAACTATACAAAACCGTTCACTCAAGATCCCTAGGCAGTATATATGGGTGGTTTCGTTGACGTGGCATCCTAGTCAGCCAAAAAAATTTTAAAAAATACGTGGGGCCCACATGTTAGCTGCACATTTTTTTTCTCCTTCCTTCTCCTTCTCTCCTCTTTTCTCTCTTCTCTATTTCTCTTCTTCAGTGAGGGAGGCCGGCGGCAGGTGGAGCAGCGCGCGCGGATGCGGGTGGCGCAGCAGAGGGCAAGCGCGGCAGCGGAGCGGCGGCGGGCGCAAGCGCGGCGGGCCGAGCAGTGGAGCGCGAGCACAGCTGCGGGCAGAGAAGCAGAGGGCGAGCGTGGCAGCGGAGCGGAGGTGGGCGAGCGCGGAGGCGCATCCAGCCCACCCCAACCGACCAAAGCACGCCCTTTGCCCTCGGCCATAAGCCCCGCCGCCAAGTCGCCGTCGCCGTCCTCCCCGTCGTCATCGAGCGGCAGCGATGACTTCGCGGTGCTCCTCGACGCGGAGCTCGAGCTCACCTCCGCCGTTGACTCGGCCTCCGCCGGAGACACCTCCGCCGCCAACGACGACTACGAGGAAGACCCCTCCCAGCCTTCCCTCCTTCCTCCTCGAGCTCCCTCACGCCGGCGCCGGCGCCTGCAGGGATGGGAAGCCGACAGTGCTGGCCGTCGTGATCAGCTCACTTGCCGCGGCAACGCTGGTCCCGGCGCTAACTGGCTGATGCGTCTGCGGATCGATGCCCTGGCTCATGAGCTTGCGCTTGATGTGCGTGTTCCACCTACAGAACCAATCAATCAGCACCAAGAACACAAGAAGAGCTAACCGGAGCAGATGACAACACGTTGAAATTTGTTTTGCTTACTTGTTGCCGAGAAGGGCGTGGAGCTTGATGGTGAGCTCGTCGTCGTCGTCGGTGAAGTTGCTGTACTTGAGGTCGGGGCTGAGGTAGTTCATCCAGTGGAGGCAGCAGCTCTTTCGGCAGCGGAGCAGCCCCATCGCCTTGGGGAGGGAGAGAGGGTCAACGGGGAGAGCGCGCCGCTCGCCCGGCGGGCGGCGGCGGGGCCCGTAGTCGAGCACCCGGCATGTTCGAACATCTCCGACGCCGAGCTCGCCGTCGCGCCGGCCGTCACCTCTCCTCCTCTCCCGCCGCCGCCGTCCCCGCTCCGCCGCCGGCCACCTCTCTCCCCCTCGGTCGCTGCGCCTGCTCGAGACTCGAGAGATTTCGGAGAGAAGAGAAGAGAAAAAGAAAAAAAAGCAGAGAAATGTGGGACCCACACCATTGTCTCACTTACATGTGGGCCACACATATTAATTTTAATTTTTTTTTCTGA